AAATTGTATCTTCCTGTGGCTAAAATGAACACGTCTTTAACACATACAGTGAAATGTAATAATTTGATGAATGGAACGGGTATTCGTATATAAACTCAAAAATGAGAAGTATTTTCTATGACATATTTTTTACCGTAGAGGTTGGCACGAGTTCGTTCAGAGATATCCCGGTGTTATTTGACTCCCATCTGGTCCGACCATCTTCTTCGCGTCGATTTATCGTCGTTGTCGTCGTTGTTGTCGTCGTCGTCGTCGTTGATGTCGTCGTCGTCGTCGTCGTCGTCGTCGTCGTCGTTGTCGTCGTCGTCGTCGTCGTCGTCGTCGTCGTCGTCGTCGGCGTCGAGTCTAAGACGGAATCCACCGCTGATCCCAGCAATCTTGGCATCTGCATACATAATGTTTTATTGATAATTCCTTATTAACATTCACGGCAAATGTCAAATTGACGTGTTAGCCTTTGTGTGATTTCTTTTTCCGTTATTCTTAATCATTATAATATATATATATATTCGCGCGATCTATTCGTTATGTGAAACTTTTGGATTCACTTATAGGTAATGATGCGACAATCATATGTGTATAATATTGAATACCTGATGCTCCGACGGCGGATAAGACGCGCGAATGCTATCAATGTTCAATTTGCTCGGCGAATAACTCATTCGCGATGCGTCCTCCAAGAATGTACAGTGTCTGGTTGGTGTACGATCCCGTAAGAAAACTGCGTGTCGTGGACCTCGAATCGTCGCGTTGCGGGCCACACTTGAAACATCTAAAATACATTACACAAGTTTGAATATCGTATTATCTGAATTATAAAATATTTTATTTAATAACAATTCTCCTTTCTTTCTTTTAACCAACACAGATATTACTTATTGTTTAAATTTCAAGAATCCTATTGAAGATTATTATATACGTATGTCATGATTCAGGTTTGTGTATAAAAGTTTAGTCATATTAATGAAATAATCAAATTATCAGTTTAAAAATCGTCGGGATGGAACTTGCGAGAAGAGAATAAAATATCCTGTATATGTGAAACTTACGTGGTAAAATACCCCCATGACAAAATTGGCCCCATGGACCGTGTCCATGCGCATTTGTATTCTGGACGTCTGGATGAAGAATGCTACCCATTTGCGGTGATGAATGAGGCGTTCTCGGAAGTGTATGAGGACTAGCGCTGTTCTACAATCAGAGTATCAGGCGATTTTTACACACAGACATTTATAATATTAATTTGATGAGGGCAAAAATGTTTATTCACGTTTTACCACGTAAACTACAGGTATATTTTACGTTCAACGAGATTGAAATACGTTTGCATGCTTTGTCTGAAAAATGAGATCGATACAATTTGTATTTGCCAATTTACATTGAACGAAATTCACAAGTCGAAATTGATGCTTTTTTAACGCTGTCTCGTGTTTCGCCGTTGCAACTATGCCCCATTGCATATATGTTCTGTATATTACTTGATAAGGATGCCATTTCTGGCCGTCGACAAAGTCGGCGTATTCCGCGGATTCTGGTCTGCGAATTTCTCTCTCCGCGGCCTGGATATCCGGTGAATAGCCGTTGGAGGAAAATGCTGCCGTGGCGCATTCCGATATCTGATTTCTTTGGTCCTTGATAGGCTTCTCGAGATTACGTTGTTGTTGCTGCTGGTGTTGCTGCTGGTGCTGGTGCTGGTGCTGGTGCTGGTGCTGGTGCTGGTGCTGATGCTGTTGCATCGCGCCCATTGCTTGCAACCTCTCGATTGGATCGCCGCACATATTCCCATACCAATCGCCGATTCGTGGCGAGTGTGCAGGTTTCAGGCGATGCGCGGCCTGGAACCAGGGCTCGGTCGCCCGATGAGGGCTCACGTTTGGACCCATAGGCATCGACGTGCAATCGAAACGATGATGTTGATTTAGGAAATCGCCGGCCATTGATGCGGAAACGACGGGATTAGCGCCACCAATCGCGGCTGTGCGCGCGTTTGCGGTCGCGATCGCGCTCTGCAAAATCGACCGCCGTGACAGCTCGCGAGTCTGCTCGCGCATCGCCTTCCGTAGCCTCGCCTCCTTCGGATTATACACATAATCTGCGAAAATGTACAAGAGATTGTAAATTGTTAGACAGTTATACAGAAATGCAAAATGTCATGTCATGCTATTATATAATATAATCATACTGTTTTCGAATATATATCTATAGTACATATGTACATTTAGTACAGGACAGAAGCAAATAATATATGTATACAACAAACTTTCAAAAGTAATTAAGCATGTTAAGAATTCATTTGAATACGTTAATGTGAGATCATGTAATTTTCATTGCAACTGAAATAGGTTCTTTCAAATGATAAATATCTCACATTTATTATACAACGAACTACTTTGAATTATTCAATTGCATGCAATACCTACATATTACGCAAATCTTTGTCAGATTTTTAAATTTTCTATTGTAAAGTTTTGATCGGCCGAAAGAAATTTCTTTCTTTTTTTTACAAGAAATAATTTTTCCAACATTTAACAAATAATGAGTTAATTTTCAAATCAAATATACTTGTATATTAACAGTTATACCTTTTCTTCGTTTTAGGAATAGATAAATTTGTTTGTATTTCTTTTTTAATTGCGGATTGAGTTGTAATTACGGCCCTTATTCTGTAACTCTTAATGATAGTAATGATATGATTACATATATCTTTGCGCAGGTTTTGTACATGGTAAAAAAGCTGCGCAACGATAAATACGATAATACATATATACGTATAATGATATCATTACTGTCGTGAAGCGTTACAGGATAGGGGGTCTTAAATGACGCGCGGGAAAAAGAATAGTACGTGCACGCAAAACTACGCAAACTATCATTTCGGCATCCGACATGCATTTCATTTGCAGGGTTCTACCTGTCGGATACGTGGGTGGTAACGTTCCGTTGTATCGAGCATTAATGTCCATCGCGTTAGAGATTGGTGCGGCGTCATAGCCAGGGTACGCCACGCTATTGTCGTAACAAAAGTACTGCTGCTGCTGCTGCTGCTGCTGCACTGTTGTTGCTGTTGCTGCTGCTGCTGTTGCTGTTGCTGCTGATGATGATAAAAATGACCACCTGCCGCGTAAGCCTCGATGTAATTGCAGCAGTCCATTTCTGCGATTTTGCGCGACACTGCGTTTGAGAAGCCTCACGTATCGATCTAGATCTCCCCTGTTAGCGACACACTTGGGCTCTCTCGTGGCGAGAAAACATCGCGCAAAACAATCGCGATCTGTCTCGGTTACAGTACATCGTAGATCGAACTCATTGATGCTGCGATCAATAAACTCGAGTATGCACTCTGTCTCTCAAATCGCTTATTTTCTCTCGATGTTTCCAAAAATTGTTATTAATATTTTTCATGTTGGTACGCAAAGTCAAATTCTTATCGAGATTCAATTAAAATATTAATTAGAAGATGTACGCGATTTCTTTTAATTTACGTATCTAAAGTTCCACTGACAATGAGATGCTGCACCTCGCGATTCCACGGACATGCATCTTTGCAAGATATTATATAAAGACCGGCATGCACGCACGAATTTTCATTCTCTTCGCCAGCCGATTAGCGCTCTTTTGGGTTCACATTTTCATGAGCTAATACCGAGCTACGAGAAATGAAGGAGACACGCGATTTTGAATCGTACTTTCTGTGAAACTCGATCGATATCTCGATTTAGCGGGTTCACATCTCGTGGCTCTTGAAAATGTAAACACCGCTCGCACGCCCGCGGACGACGCACCGCGACCACGCAGTGGTGCACCGGGCGGTGCGGCGGCGTCGTCGCTCTCCTCTCCTCTCCTTGTTCCAAAGGCGTGGAATGTGAGCGCGAAAACTCGCAGTCCCTCTGTGCTTTTGCTCTTGCTGCGAGACCGTCGGACGTTTACGCTGGGAAAACGGTGCAACTGCCGGAGGATACGTCGGAAAGATCCAGCGCTCGCAGTTCCGTCGACGCCGACCTTCTTCTCGTCGTCGTCGTCGTCGCCGTCGCCGTCGCCAATGTCGTCGTCGTCATCGTCATCGTCATCGTCGTCGTCGTCGTCGTTGTTGTCGTTGTTGTCGTCGTCGTCGTCGCCATCGTCGTGGTCATTGCCGTCGTCGTCGTCGTCGTCGTCGTCGTCAGCATCGTCTTGGTCGTTGACATTGTCGTCGTCAGGGATAATCGTCGGCAAATTAATGTGCGTCACCATCGACGATCGTGACTAATTAATGACGGCGTAATTAATCATCCTCATTCGGTCGCCGTTGATCGCGACGGGTTCGCATGTGGACATTGCGGAGGATATGGTCCGACGTGTGCAGCGCGGCGGGCCGCGCCATGCTCGCTGCCTCGCTGCAGCCGCGGCAACTCGGCAAGATCGATGACAGAAGCTGCGCTCTCGCTACACCTGCTGCACCCCTCGCACGCTCCTGCCCCCGTTCCCCAAAAACAAGCACGACCTTTTCCGCGCCTTCGTTGACACCGTTTTCGTTGGCGTGATGAATTCGATCCTTTTGGTTGATATTCCTTTCTTTCCTTTTTATAACAATTCTATTCAACAGATCTTTTACAGAATCGATATTTTGTCGGACGATTAGACGATAAGATTGGATTAAAAATTATTATTAGGGAACTTTCCGATGTCTCTCCGTTTACGATCACTCTAATTTGCTCTCGTTTGTTAATTAATCACTTAACTTAGTCCACGCGATGCATCGATCTCGACTCCAGACGGTTCTTCCTTTTACATATATTTCTTTTTTTCGTGCAGATACATTCCGAGCGTTTCCCAAACGATTCTAATCCAGTTTAGAAACGTGAAGCAGGTTTCTCTTATTTACGTAGTACTCTGTTTAAACTATGCTATACTACTATCACAACGATTTCGCACGCTTGCGTTTATTTTGCTACGATGAATGAACGAATGCACCTTCGTCTTCCATTTCGAAGCGTTTCGCGCGCTCGTTCATATATTAATTGATACGTGCATCGTGTTTCGGCGCGCACAACGACCTATTTACTCGTCTCTTTGTCCACTCGCTGTGTTACTATGTGTTACTCTCACGGACAGAAGAATATATTTATGTACGAACGGAGACGAACCAGCGATGGGCGGGCGGACGCGCGCGCGCGCGTGCCGCAAGCGGGAACGGCGGGCCGCACACGGGGAGACCCGCGTTCTTCCCTCGCGGTGCACTCCAGTCGCACTGATTTCATCCGACGGCCGACCGGGCCGACCGAGCCGACGGCGATGGAGGCAGTGCGTTTCGTCATCGACGAACTCGAGTGGCGCGAAAGGGGGTGGACGAGTGGAGAGCACATTCCCCACCCTCTTGAGGGCGTCGCGAGGTGTGTCGCGGTGTGTGGGACGCGAGCAGATAAAGGAAGAGCAGTGGCGGATTTATCGATAAATGCAGGTCGCTTAGAATGCCCTTTGAGGTTCCTATTGAAGAATCCCGAAATCGTTCTCATGTGCTTGCACTTGCATTATCTCTGCAAAGTTTTGTAATTACATTACATAATTATTTAGTGTAGCATAGTTCCTATTTATAATTGGTAAATAAAGATAAATGACATAATCATTATTTCTTTGTTGCTAGAAATATATAATTAACGGAATCATTTTAATTGTAAGCTGTGAAATCGTAATTTTATTTCGTTAGGGCTCTTCAGACTCTAAATCCGTCACTGAGAGGAGAAGACGAGGGGCGCCGGCAAATTCTCCTCTCCTCTTCCACTGTCGTTGCCTTCTTCAACGGCTTCAAGCTGGAGCCCTCATGCGATGCTTTCGCTGTTCGCATCGACGCAGTTCCGTATGCGGCGTACAGTGCTCGCTTCGAGAGAGTCGATAATTCGTCTCTCTTTCTCCTCCCCCACCGTCTCCCTCTCTCCCTCCCTCCCTCCTCCCTTTGTCGTATTTCCTTGTCAGTCGTCGGATTTGAGG